TTTTTGTATTAATTAAAGAAATAAATATGTAAAGAATATTAATAATATAACAGTAATTAACCTTCGAAATATTTTTTATATGTACAATCATTTAGTTTACATATACTTTTATATATGTTATACTATTTCGCTAAGAAATAATTTTCAATATATACTAAGGCCACATTTTAAGTTATAATTATAATTATTTTAAAAATACAATGCGTACACATTGAAATTATATTTAATTTATCTTAAAGGACTCAAATAAAATATGTAATCAATTATAAAATATACAAGAAATTTTTTGCTAAGCAAGTCCACATACAAAAAAGATTTTTAGTTACTATTAGTGTCTATATTATATCAAGAAATAAATACGAACTCTCTTTTATTTACTGACAAGTATATAAAGAGCGCTTTAATGAAATAAACACCTAAAAGTCTTACTACAAGGTTTTCAGATTAGTAGATAATCAACTTTTAATTTAAGCAACTCTAATTTGTAAATATTCTACAACAAAATTTTTATGATAGATATTGAAATTACAACTTCGAAAGAGCAATGAACGATATAATCAAAATTTAATGAAAAGAAGTATTTCATTTAAAAAAAAAATCAAATAATTTTTCTATTTTAATTACTATCTGAAAATTTCTGCAATTTGCTGAGAGTTTCACTTCTTATTATTATTAAGTACGTACTAACTGCAACCCTGCGCCCTACAGCACACAAAAAATAAAAACGAAATAAACGTTTTACCATGTTTACATTACAAACTTAAGTGAACGAATTTTGCTAAAGTTGATTTCCTTTCCTTTGTTAAAATAATTGCATTTGTTGAGAACTAAGATAAAGTAATGTACATTGTATTGTAGCCTTTACGGTGATTGTCTTATTTTTGTTATGTTGAGATGTATTCTGTCGTGACCTTTTTTGTGCATTAAACTTTAGTGTTGTATGGTTAAGTGAAATAAAAAAGTGTATTGAAATGAAATATAATAGATTTTTGTTTGTAATATTAATTATATTAAGAGAAAATGTAAAGCAATAAGTCTGTAAAATAACGTGACTAAACATTTAATTGCCGCAACCCGGGATAGTGATCCCCACGAATTTAAAGTAAATAAATTTTTTGTAATAAATTGTTAACGTTTGGGATAAATTGCAATATGAGTAATCCAGAAGACGAACTAAGCAACAGTGAGAAGAAGGCAATGAAAAAAAAGTCCCTAAACTTTGTTGAATCGCAGGCGTTAAGAGGCAGCACTAAAAGCAATATCATTTGAATTAAAGCAATGATTTCAAGAAAAGGATTGAATTTGTCTACAGAAGAACTCAACTACAGCGCTGATATTGTAGAAGTTTACTTCAAACAGTTCTTGGAGTGTGTACGCAAACATTGACAAATTAAAGATACATTTGTGGCAACAGTATAAAAAATCACGAATTTGCTAGAGAAAAGGAAACCATTTCTTACAGATGTCATTACAATAAATACAGCATCGTCAATGAGAGCCCAAGAATTCATTGGGAAGTAAAATGACCGTTATTCGAAAGGAAGTATAGTAAATTTCCAAAATGTATGGCATTATTTAAGAAATTAAATAATCAGGATGATATATTTTATGACCACGAACTTTTTTTGATAATAAAAGAGCACTGGAGCAATAAATCTCTAGCAGTGATTCACAATTTTTTTACTTGATTTCTTAATAGTAAAGAGAATTGTGAAAAAGTTTCACAGTTTTAGAAGAAAACAAATTATTATTCTTTCTAGTTACCATTCGGATTAGACAAGTTTTACATTTGGTGCATTTTACATTTTCTAATATTAAACTATTTAAAATAGACCAACCCCCAGGTTGATTTTAAATTAAAAAAAAAGTTTTTTTTAAATAATAAAACGCTTTATATTTGGATTCAAATTTAGATTGCACAGAAAATGCTATTAAGTAAAACAGTACTCCAGGCTAAAGCAAAGCGCTTATTTGATGATATCAAAAGCCAATCTATATATAACGACAGTGTGAGTGGTAGTGCTACTGATAAAGAACATTTTGAAACTGGTAACGGCTGGTTTGAGAGATACAAAATACGCGCCAATCTACACAATATTTCTCTAAAAGACGAAGCAACCATGATACCGCTGCTGCGGACCGTTTCCCGATAGAGTTAAAAGCGACAATTCAGGAGGGAGATTATGACTCAAACGAAGTTTTCAATGTTGATGCGACAGGTTTATTTTGGAAACGTCTCCCAAAGAAAACTTTTATATCGAGAACTGAAAAATCAACACCAAGATTTAAAGCTAGTAAAGACAATGCAAATGAGCTTCTAGGTGACAATGCAAATGAAGACTTTAAGTTTAAGCGTTACTTGCTTACCAATCAGAAAATCCTAGATCTTTGAAGGACTGTTTAAAGGATCGACTTCCTGTACACTGGCGAGCCAATAAGAAATCATGGATAACGGCCTTATTATTTTAAGACTGGGTTTTTACGTGCGCCATTCCTGAAATTAAAGCTTATTACAATAAAGAGAATTTAGACTTCGAGGCATTAGTCTTAGTAGATAATGCTCCTGTTCACGCAGTTTATATGACTTATCTGAAAATGTTAAATTTGTGTTTTTACTACCGAATACTACATCCGATGAATGAGAGTGTAATTTCGAATTTTAAAAGCTATTATCTGCGCCGATAATTTAAGATGCTTTTGATTGAAATTGGACCCGATAAGCTTACAATGCAACAATTCTGAAAATCTTTTAATATTTTGAAGGCAATCCTGGAAATCTTTTAATATTTTGAAGGCAATCAACATTATTGCAGAAACTTAAGAGAAAGTAAAACCATCTTGCATGAACGGTGTTTGACGCAAAATATGGCCAGAATGTGTACACAAGACAAAAGGTGACAGTTCCTCTTTAGAAGTTGATGATGATGAAGCGGATACTATTTGTCATGAAATTGCTAACTTATAGAGTTTAATTTTGAAGGGATGGATAAAGTTGACATAAATGAATTGCTAGTTCATAACCAAGAAATGTCTAACGAGAAATTATATATGTTATACTTCCCTAACATTCGAGGGATCTTATGGATAACAAAAAAAATATTAATTAAAGTGGATGATGCTACCCTCATCGCATCAAACCATACTGCTGTCGGGCAGCTAGTGAACATCATTAAGTTGACTGTTGTGTCACAGGACAAAGAACTTAATACAGATTGTATTGTTGGGCATATGTTAGTCTCTGTTCTGAACAGTCAGGGGCTACCATTGTCAATATCAGCATAATTGAGATCAGCTTACATGACCAAAAGAGTTTTGTAAAACTGAGCTCAATACAGAATAAGAGTTTTAAGGCTTATATAAGTCAAGGACACTATAGGAATGTTGCCCTAGACATGGTGTCTAAACTTCCCCCTCCAGCACCAGCTAAACGGGCTTTATCTGACGACATGATCACGCCAGCTGGTAAGAAATCCAAACAAAGCACCTCGATTCAGGGATCGAGCAGACCTACTTTTAGCCAAGTAGCAAGTCAAACCAAGGGGATCAAATTAGGGTTTGTTCCTCTTGACTTGACTAAGTGCTCCCTAAACAGGGAACAAATCGCACAGCTACAGGAGACCATCATTGAGACTGCCATTAAGTTAGCCTCGGACGAAGTTAAATCGGAATTTGAAGGTGGTTTTTCTCGCACGGGATGGTTGATGGTGGTGCTCTAATGATCAAACGGCTAAATGGGTCCGTAAAAATGCGGCAATGATTGCAACTAATACAAAACTGGGTGTTAAAGTGGCTGAAGAGTCAGAGTTTCCAAAGACACGCCTGGTGCGGGGATATTTTCCACACAGCTGTGACATTAAAAACACCAAGCTCCTTGTCACAATTGAGACCCAGAATAGGCTAAAGGCAAGCACTTGGAAAATACTACAGCAGACTGCAGAAAGTTCTCTTCTCCACATCGTTCTTGCTGTCAACGATGCTTCCTGAAATACACTGATGCAGAATGCAGAATAGCGGCAGAATAGCGTACCGCTTCAGTCATGTTAAGCTACTTTTAAAAGCAAATAATACAACAAGAGAGGCAGCCAGAACAACGGCCTACGGAACAAAGGGTTCTAAAGGTTACAGAGTACAAAGACAGAGAATCAGAGAGTGGAGCATATGGTCCCACATTAAATATCAACGTCTAATATGACTTTAAGTGAGGCCCCAACTACCAGTATTGGCATGGTGCAAAGGTGAGGGTCTCTCCATAGATCCGGAGAATTTATGTTCCTTTCACACTTAAACGTAAATTAGATATAGGTCCTGTACGTTTAAAAAACCCTAATATTCCTCTCTCTTTCTAGTGAGGCAAAATATCTAAGAGTCATCGATAGTAAACTCACTTGGAATACACACGTAAACAAGGTACACAACAAAGCACTTAAGGCTTTATGGACAACGCAGTCCTGTATAGGCAAAACTTGGGGCCTCAAGCCGAAGATGATATTTTGGATATATCAGGCAGTAGTACGTCCTATTATAACATATGGTTGTCTGGTCTGGTGGCTAAAAGTTACATAGGTTGGATCTATTGCTCTTTCAACGAAACTTTAGCGACTCGCGTACCTCTCGCGGGCTGGTGTTGTGAGGACTAGTACAACTGTAGCACTTGAGGCTATACTTGGGTTCACACCTCTGCATATTCACATTCTATCTACGCTCCGCTTAGTGCACTCCGATTAAAACTCCACATGAATAAAGTTTGTCCTGACTATGGTCAGGTCATGGAATAATATTAAAAACATTTGGAGCACATAAAATTTCTCAGTGTGATGGAGACTATATAACAAAACTTCAGAAAATTTGAGTTTTGTAAACTTTTTCTGCTTCAAAAATTGTTACTTTTGCATATAATTGCGTTAAATTTTTTTTTAAAGAATAACTTAATTTTTTATGTTTGAACTGCATTGTTGTTTCTTTGGTTAAAATAAATCAAAAAACAAAAATCAATTTGAGTAAAATTTAAAAAACATTATGCGAAATTTAAAAAAAATTTTGTGGTTGAACGCAGATTTTTTCTACTAAGTGTACATTAGAGTGGCCGCAAAAAAATTTGTTTTTGATTTCCATATGTTTCTGCTTCTTAAAATATTCCTTTTGATGATAAATTAAGGAAAATAAAATCGCATTGTCGATCGCATTGTGCCAACCCGTGCAGAGTTGGCCTCAAAGTTGACTAATTTACATTATTTATATATTTTTACGTTATGATATTGAATTCACTTAAGTCTGCTTATATTTCCTACATAATTTTGGCACGAAGTAAAAATTGTAACACTGAAATGAATTTCGTATTACGAAACTTGAGTTGCAACATTGTTATTATAACGGTTTATTGACTGTCAAATTGACAATGAGAAAGAGATTGAACGATAATTGATCATTTTACGTTGCGAAAATTAATCTGAATTGAAATAAATTCCGTTTCATCTCTGCAATCAAAATCATGTCCAAAGCGGCTTAGATCCGATGACGATAATATATTTATAATAGGAAAATGTGAAAGTGAAATCTTTGGAGCAAAGTTGCCGTTAATGAAGTAAGTAATTCAACTGTTTTTCTATAAGACCTTGAAAGAAAGTTTTAAAAATGTGATTGCTATCGTACTACCATTTTGGCAAAAGGCTCGTATTCCTACTCTAACTGAATCTCATTGCCAAAAAAAAATTACAAAAATTGTACGATGAATGGAGGTTATTATAAAAAAGTAGCAAATCTCCACTCGCAGGCATTGATAAAAAATTATTACAAAAATAAAAGCGCAAGTTAGAACTATTGGAGAAAGTTGATAAACGTAAACAGCAATATATGGAAGATTTATGTTCAAGCGTTCCAGATAATAACATATAAGAATCAATGTTTGACATTTCTTTATTTGTTTTTAATAATCCTACATGAAAATATATTTTTCGAATAGCAGCGACAGATTCTAGACTCGATATTGAGCATAGGGATAATACTGAAGATCTTATGGAATATCCATTGTCCTCGGAAGTAGCAATGGAAGAAAATATTTCAATTGGAATACCAGATAGTCTTTTACGAGAAAAAATACACTTCATTGATGATAGAATGCTTAGTTGCATGGATAAATCTAAAATTTCTACTAGAGCTGCAATTCATTTCATAAGTGCAACAGTAGCTGCATTAGATCAGCGCGTCAATCGTACAACTGTTCATCTGATGGGAAAAGAATACCAACGCAGAAAAGCGCATGATATTGTAAAGAATTTCGATGTAAATTAGTTAAAGTTTTCACTTTTGAAGTTATATATAATATACATAATTGCAGATCCCTCAAGCTTTTGTATTTCATTGGGATGGAAAACTCCTACCAGAAATTAAGGGTAAAGAAAAAGTTGACCGACTTGCTCTTGTCGTCACATGAGAAAATACCGAAAAAATACTTGGTATTCCGTAAACACAACGATAATGGGTAAACAGAACAAACAAAATAGAGTATAATTAGGTAAAAACATATAAATAATGTAAATTAGTCAAAAATATTCCTGAAATATTTTACGAGCAAAGTAGTAATTTTATGACTTTTTCTATATTGAGGTACTTTTACAACTTTGAGCTCAACTCGGCACGGGTTGGCACAATGCGATCGATCTCAAATTTTATTTTCCTTAATTTATCATCAAAAGGAATATTTTAAGAAGCAGAAACATATGAAAATCAAAAAAAAAATTTTCCCACACAACTAATGACCAGTTTAGTGTACATATATATGACATACATATATTTCTTAAATAATTTTTCCCACTTTATTCTTGTACATTTTTAAACTTTAGAAGTCACTTCGAATTTTTTTATATATCTTAGCATGTGGACTTTTACATCAATCACTATTTTGTCATATTATTAATATTTTTATCCTATTCTAAAATTTTTGTTTAGGTGTAAATTTACTATAACTACTTGATGCTAGATGCTGTTTGAATTATAACAGCCATTTACTTTTTTGTGGAGCGATCACCTGTGTATTTTTATCACTGTTTAACTGTAGTTTGTTCTATCCGCATATTAAGTGAATCTGAAATTAATTTAGATATATTTCGAGTGGCTTTAAAATTGAATTCAATTTTTTTAACTACTGAGTGAAACGGACGCGAAATGGATATAAGAAACTTCTTTAAAGGTTATTTTCGTTGAAGTATTATTAAATGTTCTCTAAAATCAATAAAATGTTTTATGTTTAAACTGACATAAAACAGAAGGTGTCAGAAAATGATGGCACAAAGTTGAAAGTGATGAGAACCATGCACTTTTTCTGCTGTTGGTAAACGTTATTATAATCTATATTTTTTTATGCAGAGTATGGTTTTGAAAATTATACGTTATTATAGCTTTTTCCAATGATTTTCCTAAAAACGATAATGGGCGATATGTTGTCGCTCTCCAAATGAAACTGTTTCAAAAATTAGAGATATTGAAACATTTTTGGACGCCTTCATAAATGTATGAGTTCCTAAAGCGTTTTAAAAAGTTTGTTGTGTAAATTTTGGGTACTTTTTCCACCTAAATGTCCGCAAGGAGTACTGGGATCATTTGCAATAAAACCCTATGTCCGCTATAAACATATGCATAAGTACTGCAAAAAATATACAAAAAGTTGGTACCATAAAGCAACTGACGCTGAGGCGGATAATGTGCTTAAAGGTTGGCCTGTAGATGTGGCAATATATACTGACTGCAAAAAAGTTATAGACGAAAATGGAAAAATTCTGAAATCAATCCTTAATGCTATAATATTTTGCGACACATGACTTGCCATTAAGGGAAAAATCATCGGATGAACGTATGAAGATATGAACATGTTTTAATTTTACAGAAATATATGTATGTCATATATTATTCAATATTTTTACGCTGGGCTACAGATTTTAATATATTGAGAAATTTATACGATTTAGGTGTTTTAGTCGACTTAATGAAGTTACAAATTGTATCAGGTGATACTGGGCTTGAAATGCATTTCACTAAAGCCAGTCGTCAACGGGCAACTTACTCATCGCCTCGAAATCCGAATAAATTGGTATTAGTAAGCCTCTGTGGAAAAGTAGTAAGAGACAAAATAGTGGAAGCAGTAAGGAAAGCCTCTGTATATAGTGTACTAGCTGACGAAACTGTTGATATTTCAGGAAAAGACCAGCTGTCAATTGGTGTTCGATTTTGTGATAAACAGAGAATTGTCCACGAGAAGTTTCTAGGATACACAAAACTAAGTGCTATGGATTCCAAAACAATTGCAGGAGCTATTAATAGTTTTTTGAAAGAAAAGGATCATGATTATAGCAAATGCGTAGGCCAAGGATATGATTTTTGTTTCACCATGGCCGGAAAGGTTAACGGCGTTCAAGGAATATTAAGAAATATATCTACAAAAGCCCTTTTTTTCATTGTGCATGCCATAGACTCAATTTAGTTGTCAATGGCTTAAATGCTGTTGCGGATATAAGAAATACGATAGCAACAGTTAAAGACATAATTAATTTTTTCCGAGAGTCTAGTACACAAAGTCATAATACGCCAAACATGCTCCTTTTTTATAATACTCGATGGTCACAAAAATGCAGAAGCATTCGACTTTTTAAAACACATTTCGTGAAAATTATTAAGTCGTTAGAGAAATTAGAGGTTGAAAGAAATGCAAGCACCAGAAAAATCAGCTTTTCAACTGCAGACAACAGCTACTAACTCTACGTTTATCATTACCGTACTATTAATAGCCAAATATTCAGCTCTACTGGAGCCAACAGTGAATACTTTGCAATCATCTTTAATAAACGTTATGCAATGCTCGCAACATACCTATACAAAATTTTATTGAAGTCGTGCAGCAGAATCGAAGTAGTATTGATGTGATTGTAGGTGACTGAATCGAATGAAATTACAGACCAGTTATATGTTGAACTAAAGCCTCCTAGAATATACAGCCAACAACATTTAGAGCCAATCCGCCCGCGACGACAGTAGATCAGTATTATAAGGTTTCCCTTATAACACCTTATTTAGCCTCGCTGCTCACATCACTTAGTATTCGATTAATAAAGAAAATTCCACAGCATTTTTTTGTCCTATCTTTTTCTATACCAAATGTTGCAATTGTCTGATGAAAGATTGCGAGAAAAATTAAAACAGTGCAAGCATTTACAATATTGAAGGACTTGAGGAAGAGAGTCAAATATGGTACATTACATGGAAAAAAAAAGTGAAATCTGCTGAAGAGTTGAAACAAATTTGTATAAAAGTATTAATAAAGTGAAGCACAGATATTATTTCCTGTGAAAAAAAAGCGCTTGAAATGTATGTTGCATTATCTTGTACGACATGGACGGTGTAACGATCATTTACTACTTTAAGGCATGTAAAACTTGACTACGATCTACTATGAGCGAAAATCGATTAAATGGTAGAATAAATTTTCATAACTAAGGTTTAATAATAAATAAATTAATTTGTTTACTTATATTTATGTTTGCTGGGTCTTTATAATAAATTTGTGGACGAAAACAAAAATGAAATTGTTAAGAAAGTAATTGATCTATTAGCAGAAGATCCCCGCAGACTTTCGTTTAAATAATTCTTTTTTGCAACATATTTAAATTTATTTATTTTATTATTTTCTTGTCTTATACTGAGAGGCTAGGCATATGTTAACAAACCATAAAACTTGTCACACATAATTTTTAACACGTTCATATATAAAATAAATATAAAATAAATAAAGTAAATAAATTCCACAAATTAAAAGAAACAAAATCAAATTTTCAAGGAACCAAAGGCGAAATATTCTGGATAATAAGCCAAAAAGCCAAAAAGAAAACGAAAAACGTGGCGAGGTAGGGAGGTGTACCTTAGCACACTTAAAAAATATATAATAATGTCAAAGCATTATTTTTCAAACAAAAGTGCCTCTCGCAAGTTTAAGTACCAATTCACTCGTTCAGTGCTCCAAGTGTTCGCTGTTCAAAAATGCAGACATTTAAAAGTGTGCAAAAAAATTTTTACAATACTTAGCATGGGTTATTAAATTGAAAACTAACTTGCTATCATATTGAAAATAAAACAAATATTAAAAACATTTATAAATCGCTGTTTTCTTAGTGCTTCCCACACAACATGGATGCTGAAGCAGAAACCATAAAACTATGATGTATCCGGAAGAAAATAATGTAACTCTGCCATGAACGCAGCTGCTTTGTTGCGGAAGAAGAACAAAATAAAACATCAAATCGTATCAAAGAGGTGTTTGGAGACAAGCCTAGTGGAGGACGCACGGATCAACACGCACGGACCTAATCACATTGGTTACAAGTAATGCTGAACCAAGTGATCAAATATTTATGCTCCTTCCAGAAGAGAAAAAAATCAAATAAAAATCATTAAAATGATCTGTTTCCGCATGCAAGAAGATAACTTATATCGGGAGATTGTGGTGGCACAAGCTGAGATGTCGCTCCCAGCTAAGCAGTACTTAGTCAACTTATCTCCACTGTACACGATAGAACAGTACCTGGAAACAAAAACAACAATAAAAAGCAATTCAATCCTAGTATGTAATAACATATATATTATCAACTACTAGTATCTCGAGACTTCGAGTAATATTGCCATACGTGACATTTACTCTGAGGGCACCCTTAAAAAAAATAACAGTTCCTCCACATTTCAGAACTTTGTCCATAGACCCATATCTAGGCATACCCAGTTGTTTATATGCCGACAGACCAATTATTAATAAGCATGTTGCGCTAGTATATACTTGAAATGTTAAAATTTCGTCAGTTATATTGAGGCCAACGAAAATTTGGGATGAACCAGTTTGCGTATCAAATAATTTAACTTTCGTTGTTTCTATTTCATTTGCATTCATTGATTCACACAAAACATCGTTCACGGAGTATATATCTCTTCTTCTATTTTATTCTTGGCTTCGAGCCTTAAAATTAGAGTTCTGCAGAATCCCTGTCACTGCTGACAAACTGCAGCAATATGACGTTCTTTTGCAAGCAAACGACATTTAGTTTTATTCTTCACATGGTAACATTGATTTCTTTGATGTGCTTTCCCACAACCTAGACACGATTGACCGCCCGTCGATGAATTTCGGGATTTCTGCTGAGCTCAATTCCGTTTGTTAATTTTTTTTAATTGAACTGTGATTAACTTCATTAACTGTCTGTCTGCTTTCTTCACCTTAAATTTCCATACATGTTTTAACCGTTGTTTCATATACTATACTGTAATGCGGCATTACGGACTTTATATATGTGGTGTGTGCTTCATTCACAATCAGAGAACGAAAACAAACACTAAAGTACAGAGCATAGTGTACTGTTTGTCATCTTTGTTAAAAAACACTAAACGAACAGTACATTAAAAAAAGTCCGAAACAATTCAATATTTTTAGAGTTTGTATACTTTTCACGAAGGTAGTGCTCATTTTAGTTATCTTTTGCCGAAGGTAGTGGTCTTTTTAGTGATCATTTTCCTAAGGTAGTGGTTTTTTAGCGTTTGCCAAACTAAACAATTTGGAAACGTTTTTAATGTGCATAGTTGTTGCTTCGTTTACATATGAAGAAGAAAAAATTTTGTTTGCATTTGTATTGCATGTATTTTGTTTGTGTTTTTAAATAAAGATATTGCGTATGTATTTATTGATCCATATTTAATATTAGGGGGTGAATTAGATAGATATAATATTTTATTGCGGTTGGATGATTTGTATTATATTTATAATGCCAATAAAAGGCAAAAAAACAAAATTTTAAAATTGTTAAGTTGTTAATTAAGTATATATATGTATATACGTGCGTATAGTTACAATAAAATCTTTATATTTCGACGCAATAATTTAAATATTATATATGATATTCAGAAATGCCTAAAATATTTTTTTAGTTTTTTAAGTTTTTTATATAAACAATTTTAAAATTTTGTTTTTTTGCTTTAATACAAATTTAATACAAATCATCCAACCGCAATAAAATATTATATCTATGTAATTCATCCCCTAATATTAAATATGTATCAATAAATACATACGCAATATCTTTATTTAAAAACACAAACAAAATACATGCAATACAAATGCAAACAAAATTGTTTCTTCTTCTTCTTATGTAAACGAAGCAACGACTATGCACATTAAAAACGTTTCCAAATTGTTTAGTTTGGCAAACGCTAAAAAACCACTACCTTAGGAAAATGATCACTAAAAACACCACTACCTTCGGCAAAAGATAACTAAAATGAGCACTACCTTCCTGAAAAGATCGTTATGAAGAGCACTAACTTCGTGAAAAGTACACAAACTCTAAAAATAAAGTTTGTGTTCGCGGACACAAACTATAAAAATTTTTTGATGTGTTTCGGACATGAGCAGTACACTACGATCACGGTTGCCACTTGAAAATTTTTTTCTGTACCAAAATTGGTTTAAAAAGGTACCATTTCTGTAAAAAAAGGTCCAAAATTTTTCTATTGTCTTTTTATAAGAAAATACAATTTATATAAAATGTACAAAAAGTATAAAACAATACAATATCCACAATAAAGTTGGGTCGCCGAAAATGTACCATTTTTTGAACATGAGTACCAGAGTACCAAACGGAAAAAAAAGTACCAATTTTGGTACTAAAGTACCCTAAGTGGCAACCGTGACTACGATACTGTACTGTTTATTTTCGTTCACTGCTCACAATCATATCTCGTATACAGTTATCTACAAACGATAGATGGCAAATCTCGCACGCACATAGAAACATGCACTCTTTAGCTGCACCACTCAGTTCTGCCACCCAGAATTTAATGAAATTTAAAACCTGCTGCTAATATATGCTGCTTTTTCGCAAACTGATTATCTAATTTTGCTAGCAATTCACCAAGAGCCTTATGGATTTTTTTATTAATCACGCTTCTCAATACTTCTTCATTTCGACCTAATATTTTTTCAAAGAATTTCTGAATCGCTAATGAAAATGCGTCTACTTTCTCGATGTCTAATGTTAGTTTGTTTTATAAACATTTACTTTATTAACACCGACTATATACGAAGTCAAAGTGTGTGAATATCTCCATTTAAAAAAGGATAAGGATAGCAAAATAAGGAAAGTAAATAAGGATGGTAGGCTTACTATTCAATAGTAATTATACATATCCAAAATTTTCATTGACAATATAATTATTTATTCTAATGACTTCGATGAGCGGTAAGAATTCTCACCAGTACTTTAACTGCTAGCACTTAAATGCCGGATTGAAACATAACAACTTTTAGTGCATAATCATATTATTTAGAATTTCTATTTACATATTAACTAATTTTGAAATTAATTTTTTAACTAAATATATAAATTTTTTTTAATTTTAAGGAACGTAAGAAAAAAACTTTCTTTTTGAATCGGTACTAATTCTAAAAAATTTTTCATTTTTTTTATTAAGCGTTTTAAAGAAAAATTTAAAACTTCAATTTTTTTCATATATATATAAATTTTGTTATCCATATCAATAAAATGTTGCTACATCTATATAAATAATGATAGTAAGAAATCAAGCTAAAGCAATGATGGGTTTGGTGTTCGAAAACTTATGCGAAGAAAGTGAATTAAATTTAAACTCAATAAAAAATATTATTTATATACCATCACCGTCAGCAGTTGATAATCAAAGCGATGAAGAGCAAATTGATAACAATATTATTACTGCATATTTATTACAGCATATTTCGATTGATCTGTATCAAAAGAATACTTAATCTTTGAACTTAACAGTCTCCTTAAGGAAAACATAAAATTAAAAGTTACAACTACTAAAAAGTACGAAAATAACTCTGTTGCAAGTGTAAATATTGAGACCAAAAATTTTTGCAAAATGATCCTAAGCGCGCGATAGAAGGAATATGAGAATACGAAACTAGTAGTTTAAAATATGTTCCTTGTATCAGGATCGGCATATTTATTTTTAAAAAATAAATGGAAAATTAATTTCAATTAAAATTGAAAAATTAATTTTCATTAATTTTAATGAAAAAACAATCAACAACTGGTCACCTAAAAAAACTTTGCTGCCAGGATTTTTAAATGCAGGTTTCGAAACCTTGAGAAAAAAATCAGCACACTTAGACAAGTTGTTAAGGATTTTGCAATATTAGTTGTTGATGAAAGGAGACTAAGACCAGAATTACGTTACAACGATAACTTAGACCAAATAAATGATTTTGAAGAACTTGACTTTTTCAAAAGTAAAACTATTGCTAAAGGCTTTTGTCTATTTATTGTCAAAGGTCTTTTCTCTAATTGGTCAATAATACTTAATTATTTTGTGTCAAAAAATGGTATAGATGGAGACTGCCTGAGCAAAATAATTCTAAGAAACTAGGAGCTCCTGCAAAAATAAGTCATAATAGTACACGTAATAACATGCGATCAAAGCTCAGCTAATAGAAAGGCATAATTGATTATAAAAAATTAAATGAAGCAACGGACGATCTAGGTCACCTAATTACTAAAACTGAAATAATTCTTTTAAATTTAAGTACTTCAAAATACTTTCCAG